GGGAGCCGGAACTCCAGAGGGAACAGGTCACCCAGCCCCAGCGGACGCACTGTCCCCAGGCCCTTCCGTCTCCCAGAGACAGCGATGGAGAGAGATAACAAGTGCTCCAGACCAACGCCCGTCCACCTAACTCACAGCGTGCTGCCAGCCATGCCCCGGGCCAGTTGGGGAAGAAACGTGGGTGGACACACACGGTTACCTGTTAACCGCGCATAGATCTGAGATTCTAGGACAGGATGTTATGAGAGGCAAGGCGACTCCTACTGAAAACCATTTCTCCCTGAACTAATCTGAAACCACAGTTCTACACGCCAGTTCATGCCTATGGCATGTGCCCCCGCGCGCGCGCGCACACACACACACACACACACAGTCCCCGCCCTCTCCGGTCTCCCCTGACTGGACACAGGTCAATACCTCGGGTGGCAGGAAGCCCCCAGTTAAAGGCTCTAAGCGGCTACATTAAGTGCTTCAGCTGTTAGAGCCCTAACTAATTTCAGGTGCATCTTAATGCCTTATTGCAAGTAACACGTGCTTATTGTAGAAGCTTTAAACACACAATGCAGCAAGAACATATTTTTAAAACCTGTAAGCAGCCCAGTCTTATACGTTCAGAAATTACTACTATTCGGTGCTAAGAATGCTCACACGCATGCGCCTGTGTGCACAGGGTACGTGAGGAGCAGCTGAGACTGATGAACGGGGCACCCAGGAGCTCATCTGGGGTGAAGAGAGCTTTGGGGTCAGGTGCGTGGAGGCCGGGTCAGGCAGGGCTGGAGACACGAGGACAGCATGGAGCTGGCCCGGCCTCCAGTCCCCCCTGGCCCAAGCCCTTGGTCCTCGTCCTAATTCTCTGCAGAAATTAGCACGACCCCACCCAGGGCCAGCAGCAGGGTCCGGGGGGGACGGTCCTCTGCAGGCGACAGAAACGAAGCCAGACAGAGAGCCGGAGGGGCCGGGTCCTGACAGGCGGGCCTGCAGCAGCCACCCCTCCCCCAGGAATACCTGCTACCCCAGGAAGGCCGCCGCCCCGCCTGCAGAGCCCGGCAGCGCCCAGCACTGCCTAGTCCCGGAACAGCCAGGAGACAGAGCCAGGTCTCCGTTCAGCAGCCCGCAGCCCACAGCCCGCAGCCCTGGCTGCACCTTGGAGGCACCCACTGGAGAAGATTAGTATATATATATATACACACTAGAGGCCCAGTGCATGCAGGGAGGGGGAGCAGTCCCTCAGCCTGGCCTGCACCCTCTCCACTTGGAATGCTGCAGGGATTGGGCCTAAACTGGCAGTTGGACATACCTCTCTCAATCCAGGACCAAACTTCTCTGAGCCTCAGTTTGCACGTCTGTAAAATAGGGATGATTACCGTGGTCCAACCTCACAGGATTCTGATGAGATTTGGTGAGTTAATATAAACTAGATGCACAGCGGATGGTAGGGCCTATATAACTGTGCCAGGTGCTGGCCTGAATTCTTTTCTAAAAATATATTTATTGATTTCAGAGAGAGGAAGGGAGAGGGAGAAACATCAATGATGAGACTCATGGATTGGCTGCCTCCTGCACGCCCCACACTGGGGATCGAGCCTGCAACCCGGGCGTGTGCCCTGATGGGAATCGAATCCTGACCTCCTGGTTCATAGGTTGACGCCAACCATAGAGCCACACCGGCCGGGCCTGAGAAGATAGTTAAAATGCCAGTGCCCAGGCCCCGTCCCCAGGGGGATTCTATTTCACTGGTCTGGCGTAGGGCTAGGCATCTGTATATTTTTAGGTGATTCCGATTTGAGTTCATATTTTTGAAGGTGGCCTAAGTACATCTAAGGCAGCGGTTCTCAACCTGTGGGTCGCGACCCCTTTGGTGGTCAAACGACCCTTTCCCAGGGGTCGCCTAAGACCATCCTGCAGATCAGATATTTACATGACGATTCATAACAGTAGCAACATTACAGTGATGAAGTAGCAACGAAAATAATTTTATGGTTGGGGGTCACAACATGAGGAGCTGTATTTAAAGGGCCAGAAGGTTGAGGACCACTGCTCTCGTGCAATCAGACCCCTTTTGCAGCTGGAAACAAAGGAACCCAGGAAGAAAGCCACCAGTTTTACAGGCAGGTGTATGCTGCTCTGTGATGTCACCGACACCGGGGCCGGCCGGCCAGGACAGCTCTGCGGGGACGGAAGTGTCCCAGCTCCTAGCCTGGGAGGCTTCTCTGCTTTAGTGAAATTGCCCCTTTATTCCCCAGCGGGTCTGGGGGCCTCACCTACCTCGGAGCCTGAAGGGGGAGGGGCTGTGGTCTGCCGACGGACATGTTTCACATTATAGCCTGAGCGTTGGGTGACCACGAAACCTCACACCTTCAGAACCTGACACTCACCCACCGTAAAGCAAAATATTTTCCCATCTGGCAGTCAAGCTGGGGAGATGTCTCTCTCAGTTGGTCTGGGTGTGAAAGGCACAGTGAGGCTGATAGAGGGCCCCTTCGCCCAGGTGGGCCGGAGCTCCCCTGACGGCTCCCCGCCATCTTGGTCCCTCTCCCCGGTCCTGGGAAGCTGAGGGCGGTGGTCAGAGCATCCCTCTGGCGATAGAAGGGACCGAGAAGACGGTCTCCAGTCAGAGAAAACCTAGATGGCCCAGCGGGGAAGTCAGCGCTGGGCCGGCACCGGGCCTCGCACACAGTGTGACATACTTGGGGTTTGGCAAACCCGAAGAAGCCGCTGCCAAGGCCGGCTGCCTCCCTGCTCCCCTGGTGGATTTCAAGGGAAATTAAACCCACATGTTTCTGATTTGCTGACACTTACAGCTCATCTGAAGGTGGTTTTGCAAGAGTGGTTTGGACCCAAGGAGCCGAGAGGAACTTTAATGACGATTATTTTTCATTTTGAAACACAGACCTGTCCGCTTACATAATGAATGCCAGGCCCACGCCGCCGCGCCCAGCGCTGCCTGCCCCGGACCCCGCAGGGCCTGAGAGCTGCGGTCACCCCGAGAAGACCAGCAGCGACCTGACCATCCACCTGGGCCCTGGCTGGGAAACGCCCCGCCAACCGCCCCTCTGACTGGGCCCCACCGAGGAGCCGCAGAGCTGGAGCTCAGAGATGTGTGCGCAGGAGGGGTTGGGTTTTTGTTATTATTGCTATTGATTTCAGAGAGGAAGCGGGAGGGGGAGAGAGAGAAACATCACTGATGAGAGAGAACCATGGATCGGCTGCCTCCTGCACGCCCCACACTGGGGATCCAGCTCGCAACTGTGCATGTGCCCTGACCGGAAATCGAACCCTGACCTCCTGGTTCAGAGGTCGATGCTCAACCACTGAGCCACACCAGCTGGGCTGGCCTGAGTCTATGGTCATTGATTTTATTATTTCCTCAGATCCCTATCTAGGGGACGAAGCCCAAATTCAAGATGGCACCCAGGGCTGGTCCTGGAACCGGGTCCGAGGGTGCAGGACATGGACCTCGAGGGAGCGGCCCTCACAGAGGTGCTGCACAGAAGGTTCTGGAATGTCTGCATGTCCCAGGACAGCAGCTAGGCCCACCCGCCGGGGGCCACAGCAGCCAGCGCACCGTGTGGCCTCCCCACGGCCGGGCCCCTGGAAACCCTGGCCAGAGACCGGACCGAACGGCCCTCTTCCCACCGGGGATGGACTTTCCGTGCCTCCCATCCCCGCGGGTTCCCCAGGCGGCTTCTCGGGAAGGAAGTGGGGCCTTGTTCTCCGTGGCTCACACCCCCTTCCCCAGCCCTGGCCCTCAGCTGCTGGATTGGCATTTGCCTCCCAACGGTCGGGGCCGCTGGAACCCGCCCCCCAGCTGGGGCCTGGCCCACAGTCAGGGCGCCCCCTCCCACCCCCCACCCAGGATGAAGGAGGTGATGGGGCCGAGAAAGGGCTCCTGCTGGGGTTTCCCTGGTGTGGAAGCCTGGGCAGTCCTGGCTCCTCCCAATGCGCCCCGCACCCCCTCCTATTATCCACGTGGCCCTTGCCCTTCGGGGCCTCATCCTCCCCACGCGACACAGAATCACGGGTCCCTGTCAGGCACAAGGCCAGCGCACGGCCCCCCTCCCCACCGAACTGCTGGCCCTGGAGCCCAGGAACCACCTGTCTCCCCCGCTTCTCCTGGAACTGAGAAGGGGGCCCCGTCATGGACCCACCCGACCCCCTGCGCCCGAAGGCTCCTTCCTGGGAACCCGGGGCCGTGCAAACGGGGCCGTGAGCGTCCAGGCGCTCGGGGACCAGCACCCACATGACGTCGTTGGCTGGAGCTGCCGTAGCAGAACCCCACCGTGGACAAGGCTTCAAACCATAGAAACGTATCACTCACGGTCCAGAGGCCAGAGGTCCGAGGTCAGGGTGTCCGTGGGCTGGTTCCTCCTGAGGCTGGGAGGAAGCATCCGGAAGGATCCGGAAGGCTCTGCTCCCGGCTCCTCACTGAGCGACCTTCGGCCACTTGGCGCGTAGAAGCATCACCCCAGTCTCCGCCTCCATCATCGCACGACGTTGTCCGCGTGTGTGTCCCCGGCTTTTAAGGACAACAGTCACACTGGCTGGGGCCACCGTGATGACCTCAAATTAACTCCATCGTCTGCAAGGCGCTCCTTCCAAACACGGCCACGTCCCAGCTCCCGGGGGCAGGACTAGCCTCTCTGTGGGGACACAGCTCAACCTAGACTGCCGGCCAGCAGTACGTTCTTAAAAGGCAACTTAAAATCGACATTGAACTACAGCAACCACGTAACTTAGTCCGAATTGTGACTTCTTTTGAGCGTGAAGGGAGGCACTGTTACTAACTCTGCAGGACCACGGGCCACAGGGGCAGAGGTACGGCCCGCAGCAGGCTCACTGCCCTGCCTCCCCACGCAGGGCAGCGGCACCCCCACCTCTGATTCCTCCTTGTTTGTGTTTCCGGCGAGTCGGTCTGTTTTATATGCAGTCCCAGCTGAGCCCAGGGCTAGTGTATCCCGGCTGCAGGGCATTCCCTGTTCCCAGCTCCCGATGGAGCCCGACCCCAGCAATTCCTGCGGCAGATGGAGTCAGGCCCTTTCACCTGTTCCCGGGCTCATCAGGCGCCAATCTTCCCGGGAGCTGGCCCCTGGGCTGGTACCTGAGCCTTAGCCTAGCAGGCCAGCGCCGGCCCTCGCCTAGAATCGGCCTTGAGAACTATGGGCACCCCCGCATGGCTGGGGCCCGATTCCCCTTGTCACCGCTTCCTCCCAGCCTCTCCCCGAAGGGCCTGTCCCCGGCGGAGCCTCCTGCTGAGGTCCCTGTGGGACAGAGGCAGCTGCAGAGGAGGCTGCCCGTCTAATGCCTGTGTGATTATCAGGGTAATGAGGTGGGGAGCGAAGACACCGGGTTTTTACCCCCTTCCTGATATGTCGG